CACTTTCTTCCCAGGACATAGTACCCAGGGTCTCAAAGCCATATGGGGCTGTGACTCATTTTCAACAGTGGAGTATAGGAATGACATTTGCCTTTACCTGCTGAGCCATCTTGCCTGCCCTTAGATATTTTTGACTCGTGTTGGTTAAATTCCCAGATACAGGGCCCACAGATATGGAACACCAACTGCATTGTATCTTCTTTTCTTTTGGACCTGATTTTCTCACTCCCTGCAAGTTTCTGAAACCTTGTTGGCCTGTACTAGCTCCCATACATTCAACCAGGAGACTACCATCACATTTTCTTTTATTTATTCCTCTCTTTTGTATCAGTGGGATCAAAACCCAGGGTCTCCCACGTGCTAGTCAAAACTATATTGCTGAGCCCAAGCCCAGGCCATACTTCCTGTTGGCTCCCAGCTCTGTGATTCCTAAATATACTTAATCTGTCTCAGACATTCTTCTCCCCCTTCTCTCCCTCTCCCTTCTTAGATATATGTTCCTTCCATTATTAAAAAGTGGATATAATAAATCTGGCCCCATTTGGCTCATGGAGCCGCTGGAGGAACAATTATATTTATGAAGAGGCATTGTCAACTGTAAGACTCATTCAAGTGGAAATGACAATATTGAGCAGCTATTAGCAAAAGTCATACTATACTAAAGGCTATCCATATGCTGTCTTGTAAGCTTCTCATCATAATTCTATGAAGCAGGGCTCTCTCTCTCTCTCTCTCTCTCTCTCACACACACACACAGACACACACACACACACACACACACACACACACATTCTCTCTCTCTGATTTTATTTTTATTTTTGAGATAGGATCTCAGCATGTAGACCAGGCTGGAGCAGAGCTCAAAATTCCCCTGCCACAGCCTTCCAAGTGCTGGGATTAGAGGCATGTACCACTGCCTAGCTATAAAGCAAGTTGTAACTCAAGCCAGCCAGGGCTACACAGTGAGATCTCACAAACAACAAAAAACACAAATAGTTGTATGCTCAAAAAAAAAACTTAAAAAAAGAAAACAACCCAAAAACTATCATCTTTTTTTTCCTTCTTCTTCTTCTTTCACCTGACTGGGTTTTTAACTGTGCTGGGGAATCAAACCCAGGACCTGATATGCCAGGGGCTTGACAACAAACAGGTTGTGAAGCTATCAGAGTCTCGTGCCACATGGGACATCTTTCATGTAGTAGGATGTGAATAACTGAGTGTGTGATGCCTAGCAGGGCTTGCGGTAGCCTTTTGGGACCTAGTTCTCACCTCTGAAGTAGATAGTTACACAGGGTTTGGGTGGGGGACTGAGAGGTGGGTTAACCTTGGCCGACTCCACGACAACCCTCAGCATCTTGGCCGCCTGCTTTCTCCCCTCCTTCCCTCCACTGCGACACGGCTTCCTCCTTAGAGCCCCTCTGTCCCAGGCTCTCAGGGGGAGTGGAACTTAGCAACAGAGGTACATCACAGAGATAAGTGGTTCTTGGTTCCGGAGAGAATCTCCGGAAGAGATGGCTGAGAGAATGTGTAAAACAAATGGCTGGAGGTGACTAGGTCTATACAAACAAAAGTGCCTAGTTGCTTTGGAGAGTCTTTCCTTCTCTTGCTCTCCTTTTGCGTTCAGTATCAGGCACAGAATTCTCTTTTGTCTGGAGTGAATTATTGGCAAAGACATGCAATTTAGATGAGAAAAGAAGTGAAGCTATCAAAAAATATATATGGAAATCGATGAGTCCTCAGGGGAAGCAAACCATTTAACCTCTTTTTTCTTTGTTTGATTTTTTATTTTTGGGACAGGGTCTCATGTAGCCCAGGCTGGCCCTGAAATACTATGTAGTTGAAGCTGTTTTTGAACTCCTGATTCTCTAGCTTCTGAGGTGATGGATATTTTTGTTAATAATAATAATAATTAATGCTAAGAAAGCTACTTCATATAAAGACACACTGCAAAATGGCAGAAGTGTTTTCAGCAATGATTGGACATTCTGTCCTGATCCCAAGCTAAAATTCATCTAATGATTGCTTTATGAAGCTTAAGACAGCCATTCAAACAGCAATTTCTAAAAACCAAGCATTCTACCGCAATCCAAAGATAATACCACTTTGATACATGCTGAAGAAAGATAGGAAAATACTAAGAGCCTTTGTTTTTCATAATGAAACTATTAGGTTGCTGTAAGAACAAAAAGCTTTGTGTCTACAATTTAAAAAAACACCGCAGTTCATAACATACAGTAGTCTGAAGTCTGAGCTGAGGGGTTTTAGATAGCATTTGTTGGTGCTGTAGCTATATGGCATGAGCCATGCTAAAGTATGCATGCTCAGAACCAAGGCTACAGTGACATTGTGAATGTAACACATCACAAACTGCTAGATATGCTGGTTGAATTAATTTTAGGTCATTGCACATTTAGAAACCTCTTGCGATTGCCTAATTTTCCTGACCCTCTACCTTTAATTATTCAAGCCTAAATGGATTGCAACCTAGAGTTTAAAACACTGGGTTCTAAACTGGGATTTGGTGGCTCACACTTTTAATCCCAGTGCTAGGGAGGCAGATATATTTGAGTTTGAGGCCAGCCTGGTTTACAGAGCTAGTTCCAGGGCTACCCACAGAGAAACCCTGTCTTGAAAAACAAAACAAAACCCTCCAAAACAAAAACCACAAGTAAGCAAAAACAAACAAACAAAAATAAAACAAAAAAGCAACCCCACTGTGTTCTACTAGGCTTGGTGATGCAGGCCTGAAATGCCAGCACTTGAAAGGTAGAGAAGCAGAAGGATCAAAAATTCAAGATCATCCCTGCCTCTACAGCTAGTTTGAGCCGAGCCTGAGATACAGGGGATCCTGTCTTACCACTCTCCCCATAAATGAATAAATAAGTAAACAGCCGACGGGCGGTGGTGGCGCACACCTTTAATCCCAGCACTCGGGAGGCAGAAGCAGGCGGATCTCTGTGAGTGACAGATCTCTGTGAGTTCGAGACCAGCCGAAGACGCTGAGTTCGAAGGCACAGAGGTGGGATAGCTCATGGAAATTGCCATCAAGAAATCAATTCGAGGTCTTTCGAGGTCTTTTTTTTTTTTTTTTTTTTTTTGGCTTTTTTCGAGACAGGGTTTCTCTGTGGCTTTGGAGGCTGTCCTGGAACTAGCTCTTGTAGACCAGGCTAGCCTCGAACTCACAGAGATCCGCCTGCCTCTGCCTCCAGAGTGCTGGGATTAAAGGCGTGAGCCACCAACGCCCGGCTCAATTCGAGGTCTTGACAGGTGGCTGAAATAACCCACTGCGTTCCCCGGGCAACCTGGGGAGGCAGGGCTAAGTATTTGTACACTTAGAGATAAGAAAAGGCTGAAGCCTTTGCCTGCTGCCGTCTGTTGAGCCTAACATTCCACCTCTGCTTCATTCCAGTCTAAACTCTGCCAGTTTCCCTTTATTCCTTAAACTCCGCACAGCTCTAGTGTTGATTCCAACACGCTGCAAATCGATTCCTCTCCCCCTCTCTCCGGTTTGTTTTGAGGTTTTGAGACAGCGTGTCACTTTGTAGCTCAGGTTGTCCTGGAATTCACCGTGATCCTCCTGTCTCAGCCTCCTGCGTGCTGCGTTTACATTACCGCGCTGGACTGAAGGTAACCCCCATCCTCCTACTGCAAATGGAACCTAGCTCTGTAATGGGCAAAGGGACAAAGATGGGGACACTGAGCCCTTGGGTTGTCTCAACTACCTTGTCCTTTTTTTTTTTTTTTTTTTTTTTTTGGAGAAAGGGATTCTCTGTGTAACAGTCCTGGCTGTCCTGGTACTTGCTCTGTAGACCAGGCTGGCCTAGAACTCAGTGAGATCCGCCTGTCTCTGCCTCCCAAGTGCTGGGATTACAGGCGTGCGCCACCACCGCCCAGAAACAATCTTGTTCTTTGCTCTCACTTTTCCTGCAGAAAACACAGAGGGAGGAGGGCAGGACGTCTCTGCCTCGGAATTGTGTGCCCCTCCGGCGATGCCCACTGGCCAGCGACGTCGCGGGAGCGGATCCGTTCCGCGCTTTGCCGCTCACCGCCGCGCGGTTCCCAGGCAGCGATCCATTTCCGCGCTTTCGTCAGAGCCCACCGCGCCCGGCGCGGAGGCGGTAAAGCGCACGCGCGCTAGGATTCGGCTCGGGCGAGCGCGCGGCCGACGACTGCTGGTGAGAAGCGGGCCTGGCCCGGCGCGGGTGGCGGCCCGTGGGGTTCGAGGCGGCGGGCGGCGGTTCTGCGAGGCCCTCGGGGCTCCGCGGGCATGCGGGGGGTCGGGACTGGAGTCGCGGGCCCGGGGCGGGCCGGGCGCGGGAGACTGGGGCGGCTGAGGCGCGGGACCGAGAAGGGCCCCGGGAGGCGGGGCCGGGCGGCTCCTCCTAATCGCGAACTCGGCATGACCTTGGCCAAGTCGCCTAGGCCCCCGAGCCACCGCCGTCGCCGCGCCGCCCGGGTGGGCCGTTTTGAGGTTTTGCGGCTCCGTGGCGGGAACCTCCCGGAGGAGCGGGCAGTTTGCCGGGCGCCTCGCTGTGGGAGGGCGGAGGAAGAAAGGCCTCCTGAGGGCCCGTCCCGGCACGGACTGAGGGCGGGCGCTCGTTTTTTATCTGTTCAAAACTCCGCTGTAACATGAGGTCGGTGCAAAACTTTGGAACGTGACCCTAGGAGACGCCCCTTAATCTCAGCCCAAAGCGGCGACACCTGGAGCCCTGGGCAGCAGTCAGCTTCCTGGACGCCCGGCTGTTGTTCAGGGGTGCCCGAGTCCACAGGCCCTGCCCAAGTCCTTTAGGGGATGGAAAGTAGGGACCCCTTAGCTTTTGAAAGAATTCGTGCTTGTGATTCCTCGTTTGCAAAACAAAAAGAAAAACCCTTTATCACCCAGGAAGGAAATTGCATAGCAGATTTAGGTCTTTTGTTTTGCTTTTTATTTTCTCCCTCCCTCCCTCCCTCTCTCTCTCTTTTTTTTTTTTTTTTTTTTTTTTTTTGTTTTGAGACAGGAACTCACTGTATAGACTAGGCTGCCCTCGAATTCGTGGAGATCCGTCTGCATGTGCCTTCCTAGTTGTGGGACTAAAGGACTTTGTAACTGTGGAGTCAGTTTATAGTTACATAATTGTGGGTTTTGTATAGCACCGGCACCTTTTTTGGTAGTGGTGTGGGAACTCACCTCGGTGGGCAAAGTGCATAATCGATAAGAATGATAGGCATACGAGCGTATTTTGAAGGTGTAGATTGGGAGAGAGTGAAAATACTGACTTTGACAAACCTCGTCTCCCTGCAGGTGACTAGCATGCAGATACTCACACCCTGACTTGGCTGCCAGACTACTGACATGGCCCACCGGGGTGGGGAGAGGGACTTCCAGACTTCAGCCCGGCGGATGGGGACCTCCCTGCTCTTCCAGCTTTCAGTGCATGAGCGGGAGCTGGACCTCGTGTTTTTGGATCATAGCTATGCCAAACCGTGGAGTGCCCACCCAGATGCCAGTAGTGCCCGCCCCACCCGCATGCTCTTTGTAACTCCCCGTCGGCAGCAGGAGAATACTATGTGAGTTTGAGAATACCATGTGAGTTTGGGTTTCCTTCTTAAGGGCTACTTTGGCCTAACCTTGGCAGTGATCATAGAGTGGGATTATAGAGAGGTGTTTTGGGGAGTGATTGGGTGGGGGTGACTAGAGATCTTGGTGTCATCTTCGCAGACATCTGCAAATGTGAACTAGAAAAGCGAGATACCCAAATGAGAACACAGCCTAGTCCACATAGATAAGTGCAGTAGAGCTTGTGTGGAAAGAGAAAACCAAGGCCTTTCCTTGTCACTTTACTGCAGCATCTGATTTGCTTGATGGTGGCTACAATCTGTCATTAGCTTTCCCTGGCTTCAGTGCACAAATCACAGATTCGGAGGGAGTTCCCAAAACATTGCTTTCATTCTTACTTCCTTACAGAAAGCCACCTGTGGGTTAATCTAAACCCTCCTAAGTCTCATTATATTTCCAGCCACCCTACATTAGAGGGTAAGAAAATTTCAAAACTTTACTATCTGATAAGTGATTTGGTTACATTTGACCTAACTAATTAGTCGATTACTTTGAACCCATATCAGGATTTGCTGAAATGCTCTAGTCTGATCATTACAAATTTTTGGATAAGAGATTTTGTCGGTTTTTTGTTTGTTTTGACTTCATGTTTAGTATTTCCTCAAGCACAGGGTTGTTTTGTTTCTTGTGGAGGAAGTGGGTTCTCTCTCTCCACACACACAGACACACACACCCATCCGCCCGCCCACCCTTACCCCTTTGAGTATTAATGAGTTAGAGGGACCTTTGTGTGTTTTTAAGCAAGTGTAGAATGTTGGATGTTTTTATTGGTTTGTTGCAGTTTTGAAATTGGTTTTGTTTACACACACACACACACACACACCAGTCCCTTCCTCTCCCCAGATAGTAGTACATTTTAAGATGATTTTGAACTCTTGATCTTCTTGCCTACACCTCTCAGGTGCTAGGATAATAGGTACATACCACCTTGATAGTTTGTATTTTCTTTTGGGGCAGGGTATTACTCTGTACCTCTGGCTAACCTGGGACTAGCTGTGTAGCTTCGGGTGGCAGCAAATTCTTGATCTTCCTGTTTCTGCCTCCCAAGCTTTAGGGATTGAAGCTTAGGTATGGCTTAGAAGAGTAGCTTGTTTGAAATAGTCTTGGTTATCATGGAACCCTTTGTAGACTAGGCTGGCTCACAGAGATCCACCTGTCTCTGCCTCCCAAGTACTAGCATTAAAGATCTGTACCACTACCCAGCTCAGAAGACTGGTTTTTTTTGGGGGGTGGGGTGGGGTTCAAGACAGAAGAGTTTCTCTGTGACTTTGGAGGCTATACTGGAACTAGCTCTAGTAGACCAGGCTGGTCTCAAACTCACAGATCATCTGCCTCTGCTTCCCAAGTGCTGGGATTAAAGGTGTGTGCCACCACCACCTCCCGGCAGGACTGGTTTTATATTTTGTTTTTATTTCCTGATGATAGTAACATTTGGTTGACTTTCAGTTTGCTCAAGGTCAGTGAGCCATGATTTAGAGGAACATTCTAGCATAATTCTGATGCCTTTGGCCTGGGGCATAACTGAAAGCTGCCTTTACATAGAATTTGATTTTTTTTTTTTTACTGTGTAAAACTTCTTACAAAAACTCATGTATTTATATCTCATGGCATTTTCTTAAAATGAAGGTCAGTGAGTAGAGAACTGAATTATTTGTTTTTAATTGTGTTTTTGAGTGGGTACGTGCACTGAGTGCCAATGTCCTCAGATAGATCCCCTTGGAACTGGAGTTGCAGGCAGTTGTGAGTCATCCCATGTGGGTGCTGAGAATCAAGTCTGGATCCTCTGCAAGAGCAGCAAGCACTTAACAGCCTAGCCATCTTTCTAGCCCTGAGGAAGGGATTTTCTCTTCCTCCTCAAGTCAGGGTTTCTCTGTGTAGCCTTGGCTGTCCTGGAACTCACTCCGTAGACCAGGCTGACCTTGAACTCAGAGATCAGCCTATCTCTGCTCCCTGAGTTCTGAGATGAAAGGTGTGCACCACCATGCTGGGCAAGTTATGAATTTTTAATTCTATTTTTAGTAAGTTTAAGTAGCCGCATGTGACTTAAAGCTTCCGCATTTGGACAATATGCCTAGGTAGCTAATTATTGCTTGTGGATGTATTGTCTCCTCTGTGTGTGTGTGTGTGTGTGTTTGTATAGCTGCATTTTAAAAAGACTTTGGAGCCAGGTGTGGTGGCTCATGTTTATAGTCCCAGCTCTTGGTGAGGCCAAGGCAAGAGGAGTGTCAAGAGGTTAAGGCTGGGTGGGAGCTGGAGAGAGATGGGTCAGCAGTTAAGATCACATATTACTCTTGCAGAGGACCCATGTCAGATGTCTCTGGCCCCTGGACATGAGCTCACATGCACATACCCACTTACATACATACACAAAAATTGCTTTAAAAAATCTTAAGTAAAACAACAAGTTCAAGGCTAGCCTGGGCAATATAGTCAATTCCAGACTAGTGTGAAACTGCTTCAAAAGAAAAACCAAAGTCACTAAAGGTATAATGACCTTGCATTTCTCAAGCATATACCAGGGAGAAGAAAACTAGATGAGAATGTGGGGAAGATGACTTTGAATCAAAATTTTCTTGAGGATATGATGAGCTTATTCATCATTTAAAGCTAATTATGTTCTGTAAACTTATGTATGTTTTTGTTTGGCAACCAGATGATTGTTAAACACTTGTGTTGTGTGAAGTGTGTATGGCTTGGTCCTATTTCCTCACCTATTTACAGTGAATCAGACGTTCCAATAGATGTGGAGACGGTCACGTCAACTCCTGTACCACTCTATGACAACCAGAAGGCTCGGAGTGTGATGAATGAGTGTGAGCGGCATGTTATCTTCGCCAGGACAGATGCAGATGCTCCTCCTCCACCAGAAGACTGGGAAGAACATGTCAACAGGTAGGCCATTCCTTGATAGAATTGGTTAATACCTTGTAATTCTTTGATAACATCTTCATTGAAACATTTACTGGAGTTTATTTCATTTGTAGCTGTGTAAATGGGGGTGTCCTCTTCATTCTGCATTGTATCAGCTCACTGCTGTGAACCACTTGACAACATCTCAGCTGCCTTACTCATTGTCCCTAACTCTAGCACATTGACTGACATACATAATGACAGATGTCTATAGTTATAGCATCTGGGAAGGCTTAGGCAGGAAGAGAACTTGCACTTAAGAATTTAAGACATGTCTGGACAGCATAGTGAAACCTTAATCTTTCTATAAGAAGTAGGGGTTGGAGATATAGCACAGTGGTAAAGCATTTTCCTGGCATGTATGAGGCCCCAGCACCACAAAACCATGCAATTTATGTGTTGGATATAAGTGTGACTAACTCTGTAGGTTATTTGATGTAAGAGCCAACCAAACTACCTAAAAAACTAAATTTATGTTTGTAAGGCTTGCAAATATATGATCTACAGTTAGAGTAATAAATGTTTTGGGGTCATGTGTAAAGCTAACATGCTTGAATTGCTTTAAAATACAGTTTTTTGAGGTTGGGGATATAACTCCATGACAATTTAATTTAAAAATGTTGAGAGGGCTAGAGAGATGGTTCAGAGGTTCAGAGAGTATACTGCTCTTCAAAGAGCCATATGTTGGGCATCTCACAGCTGCCTGTAATTCCCACTCCAAGGGGGGATGCCTCTGGCTTGCTTGGACACCTGCACGCACATGTATATATACATATATGTGCTCGCGTGCACACACACACACACATACACACACAGTTAGAAATAATATAATACGACTTTAAAAAATAGGGGAACACTGCCGGGCGTTGGTGGCGCACGCCTTTAATCCCAGCACTCAAGAGGCAGAGAGGCAGGCGGATCTCTGTGAGTTCGAGACCAGCCTGGTCTGGTCTACAGAGTGGGTTCCAGGACAAAAAAAAAAAAAAAATAGGGAAACAAATGTATAATTTGAATTGAAGAGCTTTTTAAAATCAGTTAACCCTTGATTATGATTGAGAGGTTTGGGAGCTACTCATGTTTATTAGTCATTAGACTTAATGGTATATAGTAATGCTATTTCTTCAGTCATTCCTTCTTTTAAAAGATTCATTTTATATTAATGTATGTTTGTTTATGAGTGTATACCACGTGTGGTAGGTACCCTTAGAAGCCAGAAAAGAGATTGTTGGATCCCCTGGAGCTGTAGGTACTTGTGAGTTGTCTGGTGTGGTTGCTGGGAACTGAACTCTAGTCCTCTGGAAGAGCAGCAGGTGTTCACAGCTGTTCAGCCCCCTTTGTTGATTTTTTTGATATAGGTTCTCTGGTGTAATGTAGGCTGACCTCAGACTCCCTGTGTAGCTATGGTTGACTTTGAACTTCTGATCCTTGTGCCTCTGCCTTCCATATGATGGAATTATGGGTGTGTCACCATGCTTTGCCTTTATTTACTTTTTTTTTTTTTTTTTTTTTGTTTTTTTTTTTTGGTTTTTACGAGACAGGGTTTCTCTGTATTGTTTTGGAGGCTATCGGTCCAGCCCGGCCTCGAACTCACAGAGATCTGCCTGCCTCTGCCTCTCCAGTGCTGGGACCTTTATTTACTTTTATGCATAGTTTTTCTGTGAAAACCAAGGCTGGCAGCACACAGTATAAACATGTGCCACCGTGCATGGTCACTTGTTTCTTAATTTATAAGGAAAGATAAAACTACAAAGCAGATCCGGGTGGTGGTGGTGTTCACCTTTAATCCTAGCACTTGGGAGGTAGAGGCACATCTCAGTGAAGCCAGCCTAGTCTACAAAGCAAGTTCCAGGACAGCCAGGGCTGTTACACAGAGGAACCCTGTCTTGAAAAACAAAACAAAACCCTGCAAAGCAAAAGAGATGTTGGGGTGCCTGGCTGGAATGTCCTTACCCAGTTGAAAAGTCTGAGAAGCCATTGTGTTCTATAAGGGTAGATGCATGGAGAATCTTTACAGGAGAAAGATGGGCACACCTAGTAACTAGGGTGCCCCTTTACCTGCTGGGTGCTACAGGAAACACTTGAGCGATTCCTGTCTTTGCCTTGTCTTTCTCTAGTCTCAAAGTGGACTTCCTTTGTTAGAACCCCACTGCATACTGATAGTGTTTTGTTACTCTGAAATAAACTGTTACTGTGTTTGGTATCTGGTAAGATTTGGGAGATGTTCTATTAGCAACAGACTTTAAGCTATCTTTGATTAGGTCACTTGCAGGTAGCTGATTTATTTGTTAGTACTTAAAATTAGCTTAACTCAAGAAGAGGTCATCATTTTCTATAGCTTGTTTGGAAGTTTGCAGTTGCCTTTGCTGTGATTATAATAATCTTATTGCCTTCTTTCCCTTGATTGTTAAATTGCTGCTTCCTTTCTTCCTGTATAAGCCATGTAAAATTACAGTTTCCCACACTGAGAACTCCATGGACAGCCCTATAGAGGACAGTTCCCTAGAATCTCGATTTTTTTAATCTTCAGAAATAACTACCGGTAGGCTTGTATCTGTAGTCAGAAGCTTCTGTTGTTTGTTAGTGCTCTTTTCTCTGATTCTTGGATTATTCATTAGAAATTTTCCACAGATCATTTTGTGTATAGGAAACAAAATCTACTATCACCTATTCTAGTTTTCTCTAATGTTAGCTGATATTTTATGAAATAGTCTCAATCTCTGCTTGATTTAATTATCTATATCAGGCAGGGGTTGTCAGGCTGACCCATGTGCCAAATTTGGTCCATTGCTTGCTTTTGTATTCCTTGAAAGTAGTTTTTTTACGTTTTTAAGTGCTTGGAGAAAGGTATTATTTCATTGACACATAAAATTTTAATTTCAGTGTCTATGGTTAATAATTATTGAACTATAGCTATCCCATTCATTTGACATTGCCCATGGGTGCTTTTACATAGAGTTTTGTAGTTCTGGGAAGGACCATATGGTATGTATTCCCTCATATGTGTGCATTTTAGTTTCCTATCCAAGAACTTAGCTGACTGAGTCTGGGTCATGTTCTTGTGTCTGTGTGTCACAGACATATAGCTTGGAGAATTGTTGAAAGTTCTATTTGGTGGCAAAGATAGTCCTGAAGATACTAGGCCAGCTAACCTCCCCCATCTGTTTGTCAGATGGAAAGTTGCATTAGATGCGTTTACTCAGGTGAGTTTTAAATCACCTAACAGTTTTGTGGGGGTTTTTTGTTTTTGTTTTGTTTTTTGTTTGTTTGTTTGTTTTGTTTTTGTTTTTTGGTAAATGTAGTACTGGAGGGACTGGAGAGGTGGCTCAGTGGTTAAGCGTACTGGCTGCTCCACTGACTGCTCTTCCAGAGGACCCAGGTTCAATTCCCAGCAACCATATGACAGCTCCACCACTTGTCCAATTTCTTTTCCCTTCTTTTATTCTTTCCTTTCTTAGTAGTGTGGTTTAATTGAGCTTTTCTGATGTTGTCTTATCCGGTTTAACTTTTCACTTAAAATTTTTTCTTTAGGCTGAGCATGGTGGTGCACACCTTGAATTCCAGTGTTTGGGAAGCAGAGGCAGGTGGATCTGAGTTTGAAGCCATCCTGGTGTACATACTGAGTTCCAGGATAGTCAGGGCTATGTAGAGATCCTGTTTTACAGAAACAAAATAAGTAAAATAAATGTAAGATTTAAAAAAAAATCCTTCAGACAGGGCCAGTGAGATGACACTTGCCAAAACACAAGCCTGGTGTAAGCTTGATGACCTGAGTTTAGTTGCCAGAGCCATGTAAGTTGTCTCCTGACCACACAACTGCCGTGGCATGTGCCTCCCTGGTAAATACACACACACACACACACACACACACACACACACACACACACACACATAAAAAACTCTGGGGTTGGAGAGACGGCGGCTCAGCAGTTGAGAGCATTTGCTGCAGAAGGCCAGAGTTGTGCTTCCAGCACTCATATGTTGACTTAATAACCATCCTAACTTTAGTTTCAGGGGATTCAGTGCCCTTTTCTGGTCTCTGTGTGCTTTAGACGGTTTTGCATTAAATAAGTCTCCCTTGGAACAGAATCAGGGAATTAATGATTACTTTTGAAAATACTGTGTTTGCCTGGCTTTGTGGCATATGTCTATAATCCCAGACTTTTGGAAACAGAGACAGGAGGATCCAAATTTGAGAATATCATGGGTTACATAATGGCACCTTGTTGCTTTAAAAAAAATGGGGAGGAAAGAAGGGTCAGATTTTCTAGGACCATCATGCTGTTTTGCCTGCTTTGACTAGGGTGAGCCTGATGTCAGCATATCATTCAGGTTGGTCAGACCAAGGAAAACAAGAGACTATCTGATCTCATCTATGAAAGAAAGAAAATGCATTTCTTGCACTCATGAAAATTAAATAGATTTAGGCCCAAAGGGAGGGGGCAGTTGACTCACCACAGTTCCCATCAGCTCCCTGACTGGTTAGACTTGTATTTAAAATTTGGTCTCCTGTTTTTGAATTTTTCCTTAATTATATCTTTTGCATGCTCTTTATCTTAATCTTGGGTTAGATCTTTTTTCCCCCTGCCCATTTAATTTTCTCACCTCCCAGGAAGCTGACAGAATGCATAGAATGTTTCAGTTCTTAGGTCACTTTGTTTATGTGTGGCAACAATTACAAGAATTTTTTTTCTGAGATTTCAGACTCTCAATGTTGTGGCTTTCTAATGTAATTTCATGTGCTCTATGGTAATCATTTCTAAGTAGATTCTAACTTTTCTCTTTTGTTTAGATCATATTTCTTCCTCATATCATTTTGGATTTCATAATGAAAATAGAGTAATAACATGAGTAATGAAGGGCTGAGGAGATGGCTTAGTGGATAAAGTACTTGCTGTGTAGGCCTCAGGGCCTGAGTTTGGATCCTCAGCACCTACGTTAAAAAAGCTGGCATGGTGATACACATTTGTGACACAAGTGTTGGAGAAGGGGGTGGGGATCCTTGGAACTTTTTGGCCAGCCATTTAGCCAATCATTGAGTACCAGGGTCAGTAAGAGAGACCCTGTTTCAAACAATAATATGGAGAAAGAAGAGGACACCTAAATTCAACCTTTGGCTTTTACATGGACACCCCACCCACATGTATACACCACACACACACACACACACACACACACACACACACACACACACACACACAGTAATCTTAGTACTTACAACTAGGGTAGAATTCAACCAATGATTAAAAACCAAAATGGAAATATGTTGTGAACATTGTTTTCTCCCATGTCTACACATGCAAGAGTGAAGACCACCTGAGAATCACTGTACATGGACAGATGCCACTAGGGTAAAGATGCTGTATATTTCAGTAATGTGAAGGAAAAGGAAAATATGAACAGATAGGCTAGGAATATTAGTCCCAGCAAGCCATCCTATTCCAAATGGAGTTAAAGCTTTCAAAATCAAAAGTGTCTCTAAGTAACAAGCCACAATAAAAATAGACATGATTCTGATGAAGTAACAGGAGTTATGCCAAGAGAACTAGGGGGAAAGCAAAAGAAAAGGCACAATCTGGAAACCTAACACTGCTTCTAGTTATCTTTGGAGTATTACAAGTGAGTAGCTTTGGGAACCCAGAAGAGATTTACATTGTAGCAAGGAAAGCTTTGCAGATAGATAGAAGGCACTACTAGCCAGTTGTGATGCTGCAGTTCCTTTATCGCAGCATTGTGAGTCAGAAGCAGGAAGATCATGAGTTTGAGGCCAGTGTTGGTTACATAGCAAGTACGAGGTCAACTTGAACTGTGTGATAAGATTCTGTCTCAAAAAAGCCAGGGCTGGGAACATATAATTTAGCATTAGAGTACTTGGCTTGTTTATATCTCTTATTACTAAGGTGAGGAAATGATGGCATTTCTGAAGAGGGGTTGCTTGGTTCTATCTCTAAACCTATGTTGCTATCATTATTGTTCATCATAGTTAGTCTGAATTGTAAGTAACTTAGAGATCATCTAAGTCTCTTTTTTAGACCTCAAGACTCAGGGTACATAGCCAGCTCTTCATTAAAGAGTGAAATAAAGTCTAACTCTTGGTTAGGCTTCTCCTGGACCATGTAAGTTGTGTGGTAGATAGGTATTTTATAGAGAGAAAAGGAGTTTCTAGTAAATATTTGCTTACTCTTATATACCAAACAATTGAACAGTGTGAAAGGTAATTTGTCTTTTAATCTGTATATTCTCTACAGATACTAGTATTTGTAGACCCATGACCTGTAGATGAGTGTTGACTAAGATTAGGTGTGATAAAAAAGATGCTAATCTGCTATGACGTAAGAAATGGAGACTGTTGATGTCATTTCAAGTAGCTTCCCTGTAGATTGACCACCTTAGAGTGTTAAAGAGCTTGGTTGAGTGTTGAGTCTAAATCTTCCTGCTGTGTTCTTCCTCTGCACTTAGTAGGCTGCGCAGGGGAGGGAGGGAGACAATGACAGGATGAACCTGGCTGTTCAGAGCACTTTGAATGCAGTGTGTGTGCAATTTGTTTATTCAGAAAGCGTTTTAACTTCCCGGAATGTCAGGTACTTGGGAATATAGCATTAAAACACACAATAAAAATCTTGGCTTTTACATTCTAACAAAGGGAACCAAACACAGAATGGCTAGAATGTGAGGCGATGTAGTTGGAAAATGGAGCTAGAGAATCCCAGGGTGGGGTAAAAGGGGTCAAAGAAGCCTTAGTTGAAGGTGATACCTAACAGTGACCTGAAGGAGAGGAAAGAGGACATTACTGTTTGAATATTGGAATGAATAAAAAGGGTCCAGATACAGGGCTACACTTGATACACATGGTATAGGGGATAGGCATTATTGATCAGGGACAGAAGAGTATCTGAGCTAAACTGAGTGGCAATCATTGGATGATGAGATTGGGACAGTATTGGGATCCATGTGGCTCATTGCAAGAACTTTAATAACTTTTTTTCCCCTTTTATTTGGGGTGTGTGTGTGTGTTGCATGTATTTGAGTACGATTCTATAGCTGGAGGCCAGAGATTGATGTCTGGTATCTTCCTCTAGTTACTACCTTAGTTTTTGATCTAGAATCTCTCATTGAAACTAAACCTTGCTGATTGATTAGACTGGCTGATGACCAAGCCCCTGGGATCCTTCTGTCTCACCCCATCTCTGAAACCAGCACTAGAATTACAGACACCATGCTCAGCTTTTACATGGGTGTTAGGAGATAAAAATTGAGGTCCTCATATTTGCATAGCAATTACTTTACCCATGAAACCATCTCACCAGCACCGGGTTATTGGGAGGTTTTTGTTTTTTGGGGTTTTTTTTCCCCTTGTTTTTTTTCTTGTTTGTTTTTTGAGACAGGGTTTCTCTGTGTTGTCCTGGCTTTCCCGGAACTCATTCTGTAGAACAGGTGGGTCTCGAACTCACAGTGATCTGACTGCCTGTGCCTCAGTAGTGCTGGGATTAAAGGCATGCACCACCATGCTCAGCTTGTTGGGAATTTGTTGATGGCAGAGAAAGTAAATAAAGATTAAATATCTTCTATTGCCTTTTTTTCCTCCTATCTTTAAGATTACTAGTCAGAATTGGGATATCAGAGTTATTAAGATTGCTGGGGATGAGGTGACAAGTGATGTTAGTAAGCTTAGTACCACTATGTTGGGAATCAAGCCTGGGGCTAAGAACAATAGGATATGCAGGACAATGGCGGCACATTCCTTTAATCTCTCAGAGTTTGGGGCCAGCCTAGTGTACAGAGTGAATTCCAAGACAGTCAGAGTTACACAGAGAAATCCTGACTTGAAAACAAACAAAAAGAATACTAAGATAGACTTGTAATTACAAAATTTAAAGCTGGATTTAGAAGGACACAGAAAGCTGTCCGTAAGGAAGGTAGATATTTATGTCATTTTCATATACTAGGTTAATGTTAACATCATTTCTCTAATTGTGTGATAGGAAAAAAATGTAAAATCCATGGAAAAGGAAAAACAGTATTGGGTACAATATTGAGGCATTGGAGAATTGTGGTTATAGTTCTTTTACAATTTTGCTCTTCAAGCTGGTTTACTCTCCTGCTTTTAGTATAGTCCATTAAGATGCTTGTTGAACCAAGCATTGTGGCATATATTGTAGTCCCAGCACTCTGGAGGCTGAGGTAGGAGGAATTTGGAGTTTGAGTCCAGTCTAGCGTGAGACCTTGTCTGGAAAATAAATAAAAGAATTGAAACATGTTTGTGCACTGATGCCATGTCTTTGGTTACTAATAGCCACCAGATAAATAATTAGCTTTTCAAACACTGAAAGGCTCCATGACTGACCCTTAGTGGAGTATTGGTGATTTGTTGACAGAATTGGGACCAAAATTTCATGCCTTTAGCTCAGTGACTAGTCTCTTTCTTAATGGTAACAAAACGTGACAGCATCTCTTTATATGGTAGAGGTACATGGGAAACATCCTTAGGGTTACTCTTTAATTCCTCAGAGTCTCTGTTATAGGACTGGCTGGACAGGGGCTCAGAGCAAGCTATTTAACAAGATCCTCAAAGCCCTGCAGTCTGACCGGCTCGCCCGATTGGCCAATGAAGGGGTAAGATATGGGAAATCTGTGTATAGTTGGCTGTCTTACTTCAGGCCTCATTGACTGACTGTGTCCTGTGTTGTCCCCCTCCCCCCCACTACCCTCTTTTCATGACCATCTTTCAGGCCTGCAACGAGCCTGTGCTTCGTCGTGTCGCTGTGGATAAGTGTGCAAGGAGGGTACGGCAGGCTCTGGCAAGTGTAAGCTGGGACACCAAGCTGATCCAGTGGCTGCATACCACCCTTGTGGAGACCTTGAGTCTGCCCATGCTGGCTGCGTACTTGGATGCTTTGCAAACCCTGAAAGGGAAGGTGAGGCTTTTGTTGCTTTTTTGTAGCAGTAGCCAATATTTGCTGTGGGTTCAGGATGTAGGTTTGGAGAAGACCATTGTGACCAGGTCAGCATGGTTGAGTCTAACAATTTGGCTATTAAAAATAGGAAATTTTTCTTCAGTCCTTCCATCTTTTGGATGAAGTGTGACATCTGAAAACCAGAATGCATATTTAACCTCTATAGCCTTGCAGTTTGTGCTCTGAGTCATCACTGAAATTGAATTGTGGTGGTGGAGATGAGAGTTTTACCAAGGAGAACTGTCAAGAAAAAGGGAATGACAAGCAGATCTGTGTTGCTCGGAGGACCAGGGGATTACATAGCAAGGACCTACCTGACACTAAGTCTCCTCATCAAGAGATAAACCATAGGCTGGTGTGGTGGTACATACACACCTTTAATTTCAGTACTGTGGAGGCACAGGCAGGTGGATCTCCATCGCTTTGAGCCTGTTCTACACTGCAAGTTCATTTCTGTAGTGATTAAGTTAGTGAATTGAAGTAGAGATCTTGACAGAAAAGCCAGCATATGAGAAGCCCACAATAACTACTGAGGATTATTCAAGTGGCCCTCATAGGGGCTTGAGGAGTATGTGTGCCTTGCTCCAGCACAGGATGGCCTTAAGCAATGGTACTTAATTAAGTTTCTTCACTTTGTTTTTCTTTTATCTGGTGGTACAGGGGTAGAGTCCAGTCTCTTGCATTTGCCCAGTCAGGTCTCCAAAACTTGTAATTTCATTGTTTCTTAATCTGTTTTGTTTTTGTTTGTTTGACATTACAGAATGCTGAGTTTCTCAGAAAGCTGAAGGAAACTGTGTGCCAAAGTAAAACAAAACGCAGGACTAGATATAATGTTTATATGTATGATTGGATATTTGACCTAATCTTTTTAATTCAGCTGATACTTACCTTGTATTTAGAATGTACCAGGCATGGAACTGAGCAAAAGGAAGTATATTTGGTGAATAATGTACTCTAGGGATGAGTGCTGACAGTGCCCAGGGCAATGGTAGCTCTGCCACACTCCCATGGCCATGATTTTGATGTGATTGCTCTTGCTTGAAAAGACAAGTTTGTACTACTTCTGATTTAAGATACTAGTGGGGCATGTCCTGTGTGAATGAGGTGATAGATATTTTGAGCATGACAGATCCCTGTTGTGAACTTTTTAAGTGTGCACAGCAGATGTCAGTGCTACTTGGACATAGTGCTGGGGTCCAGTATGGGTTAGCTAGAATGACATGAGTCTGCTTGGTACACCAGTCAGTGAGCATAAGGTACTGTCTACCCTGGGCTGTGATCTCCATGGTGGTTCTCCTACCTCCAGACTTAAAGGTATTAATGGATATGGAATTATTTTTGCTTTAAAATACTTGCTAGGTGTTAGACAGCAACTGGCTGAGATCATGCTCTTGGCCTAGCTATTTTCAACTTCAGCTACATTATGAAGAACGCAGAGAAGGGACAGCAAACTCCGGGTCTACATTGTGTTGAGACAGAATGAATGCAAGACCAGAAGGGCTGGAGAAACTTGGCTTTTAAGTGGAAATCAGTTACCGATGACTTATTTCATGTTGACAGTGAGCCTCGGGCTTTTCAGTTTCATAGATAAACTTTGCTGCCTGAGAAAGCTTTATAAGTATAAGCCCAGTATTCACAGTGTTATGGCTCATGATTAGAGAGGGGGTTATAAAGAATGGGCAGTTTGGGGTGCTGATCCTTTGCTGTTTGACTTTAACCCTTATCACTTTGTACTCCTACTTCTTGCTGGAGTCTGGTTTATTTATTTTATTTTATTTTATGTATGAGTGTTCTGCTTGCGTGTATGCCTACATGTCAGAAAAGGGCATTAGATCCATTTATAGATGATTGTGAACCACCATGTGGTTGCTGGGAATTGAACTCAGGACCTCTGGAAGAGCAGCCAGGACTCTTTAACTGCTGAGCCATCTCTCCAGTCCTGGAATCTGTTTCTTAAGTCCACATTGGTCTGGAATAAACACTACACATCCTTGCTTTTTGTCTCACTTGGGTAACTTGTCTGTCCTGGAACTTGCTGTGAAGACCAGTCAGGCTTTGGACTTGCTTTAATACTCCTCCTGCTTCCTAGGTTTTTGGGATACAGGAGTGGGTTACCTGCCCAACTGTGCATCTGGCTGATAACTCATCTCATGCTGGAGTCCTGCCTAACCTAAGCCTGTTTCACTGTATGTGTTACTGCTTCAGATGTGAATTTCCTGTTCACCAACCCTGCTCTGTGTAGGGCTTATTTTTCTCTCATGGCAGTTATTACTCCCCCTCCCCCCATTGGTTTGTCTTTCTCTCTCTTTGAGGTTACATCCCTCTGCAGGATTAGCTTGGTGCTTTGTAAGAGCAACTGCTATATTAATATTAACTTCTGAGTGGACTGAGACAGTCTTGAGATTATAATTCCCAAAATCTCATGGGGAGATCCTCTTAGTGTGTCTTTTCTCCCTTTGTTATTTATTTACTTATTTTTTGAGACAGGGTTTCCCTTTGCTGACCATGAATTAGATATCCTCCTGCCTCAGCTTCCTGAGTGTTGGGCCCAGATTTCAAATCTTATTAAACTTATTTATCTGGAGTACAGATAAAGAATTTCAAGTAACATACCACAGTGTGATATTCATTTTATTTTAATTATTTTGTGTGTTGTGGATCAAGCCCGGGGCTTTGCAAATCCTAGGTAAGATTTACTCCAGCTTCTTTCTAATCAGTCTGTATGTCTCTCCATGTGTCTCTCTCTCTCTCTCTCTTGTCTTTCTCTCTCTCTCTCTCCTTCCCTCCTCCCCTCCCTCTGTCCCTCCCTCTCCTGAGTTAGGAATAGCTAGCTCATCTTAGCCTGCTGCCTTTGGCATTTTATGCCTACCTCAAACCATATTCTTTAGTCTCTGGAAACCCTTTTTAGATGCCTCTGAAAACTACCTATAACACTCAAAAATCTTTTCTTTCTTTCTTTGACATTGTTTTGACTTCTCTGTGGGTATTGTGGGATTGGTGAAGATATTTCTTTGCAGCATAAGCATCAGCATGTTTCAAACCTGTGTTTATATATTGGTGAGGTCACTTTTGGGGGGGGAATAGTTAAAAACAGGATATATAAATCACAATATACACAATATAGTAGGATATATTTTTGGGGGAACAATAGCAGGTTTCATTATACTTGTCTCAACTTGAACTATATCCAGAAGATAGTGCAGATGTTTATTTTTTTGTTTTTTTGAGTCAGGGTCTAATGTATCCCGGGTTGTCCCCTATGTAGCTGAGGTTGACCTTGACTTTTTGATCCTCTTCCATCCACCTCCCAAGTGCTGGAATCACATTGGAATGAGTCACCATGACTTCTGTGTTTTCTGATAAGAAAAAGTACCCAAAGTATAGTCATCTGGGAAAAGGATGGTAGAATAAACTGCAGTTCATTGACGCTGCTCACTGGATTGCCTTCCAGAGAATGAGCTCTGCATTCTTCTCACAGCGGGGAGTGTACTTTAGCTGTGCACTAATCTGATATGCATAAGAACTAAGAGCTCAGTGGATTTCTGTCCTGCAGCACATTGCTGCTGGAAGGAAGGTTTCTCGCTTCACACTGGAAACATTTTTGCTCATCCTTTGTAGATCCCAACTTTGATCGACCGAATGCTTGTGTCGTCCAACACAAAGACTGGGGCTGCAGGAGCAGAGGCTTTGTCTCTCCTCCTCAAGAGGCCCTGGGACCCTGCTGTTGGTGTGCTTTCTCATAACAAACCAGTAAGTTGGCTGCTCAGCCGTAACTGGCACATAAAATGTTCAGACTGAGCCTTAGAGGCTTAGCAAGGGGAGATAAGTGGCTTAACTTTCTTTAATAGCTTGGGTTCTTCTTAAAGATGCATTTATTTTTAAAGTGGGTGTCTGCTCTTGAGTGTAGGTGCTCTTGAGGTCAGAAGAAGGAACTGAGTTACAGGCACTTGACATGGGTGCTGGGAACTGAACTCTGCTTCCCTGGAAGAGCAGTGAGTGCTCTTAACTACTGAGCTGTCTCTCCAGCCATAAGCAAAGGATCAGTGGTTGGTATAAACTGTTGGATGCAGTTGTTGAGAGTTTATATATAGATGAATGAATACTTCTCACTCAGTGGTTCTTGGATGGGATTCTGTCTCCTCAGAGCAAACTCCCTGGTTCTCCTTTGATTCTCATCGCCTCCTCTGGTCCCTCCAGCTCTGTGTTCCCTGCCTCACGCCGCCACCGCTTCTGGCAGTCGCAGCTTTCCTGCTTAGGCAAGGTAATTGTAAGGACGAGGAGTTCTGGGTAGGAATGTAGTCTTGGAGGATTAACGAGAAGAGTATGTGGTTTATCTCCTTAATTCTTTGTATCACCTGTCTAAGATTTGGGATAAGTTAAGAGAATTGAGGTTTGAAACTTGGCACTTCTGACATGGATGCTCTTTCTGCCCTTTAGGTCATTCCTGTAGCCACCCATCTGCTGAACAATGGTAGTGGGGTAGGAGTCCTGCAGTGCCTTGAACACATGATTGGGGCAGTAAGAAGTAAAGTGCTGGAGGTGAGAATGCCCAGGTTTGGTTCACAGAGGAGCACCCAGGAGTGTGGGATTGTTCTGTGCCCATGCAGTCTCCTGTTTACTCTCTTCTTTCTCTTGCCACAAAGATTCACAGCCATTTCCCACACAAACCCATCATCTTGATTGGATGGAATACAGGAGCTTTGGTGGCCTGTCATGTAAGTAATTTCTGTTTTATTTGGAGATCACTGAAAATTTTAATGTGGTCATGAAAACAGTGCTACTATTGTTAATTTTAATTCTTCTTTATCTTTGTGCTAGTTACTTGGTATGGGAACTGTATTTACATTGTATAAGACCATCTTACTAGTTTTTAAATGTTATTATGGAAATGTTACTACTGGAAGAATAAGAGTAGTGAGTAAATTCCCTGATCTCCTAGTTTTACCAGAGATCAACTCATAGCCAGTCTTATTTTTGTCTTATTCCTGCCCACTTTCTGTGTTCCAGATTATTTTGAGGAAAGTCTCAAAGTATGATGACACATGCTTATAATCTTAGCACTAAGTAGACTGAGGCAGAAAGATTGCCATGAGTTTGGTGTTAGCTTGGGCTATATATAGTAAGTTCTGGGTTAGCCCAAACTTCTTAGGAGAAGAAAACAAAACAGTATTAAAAAGTTCCAAATACAGCCTGGCAAATAGGCATTGTCAGGTGGATCCTTTGAGTTCAAGGCCAGCCTGGTCTACAGAATGAGTTCCAGGACAGCCAGGGCTACACAGAGAGAAACCCTGCCTGGAGTGTGGGGGGGGGGAGGGGGGTGGTCCAAATACTATATTTCATTTATATATGTTTGAGCATGTGTCTCTGGGAACAAAGATTCCTTTTCTCCAGACTTCAATACCTTACTGTGTTTTCTCCTTAACATTTCAATGGGGACAAATTAGTAGTTTTGAATTCAGTGTTGTGTTAGGTTCCTTTGTAAATATCAAGGGACTTTTTTTCCTGCATGTTTATGTCAGCTTGTGTAAGTGTCCTTGACTTTTGAAAGCTCCACTTCTTCCAACCAGTGTAGTCAAGTGTGGTATCTGGAGTAGTGAGAGAGCAAGTATCTGCTATAATCTGCACACCCTAGGGCAGAGCGCTCAGTAGTCACTTGCTTTGAGAAGTCTCAGCTATGTAGGAGCTAGCCCTGAAAACCACTGATAAGAGATTTCTCCACTTAAGGGACAGAATTGGCATTTGTGTTTTGTCTGTGTTTTGGGTGTTTCTCTGTTCTGGGAATGGAACCCAGGCCTTGCACATGCGAGGTAATTATGCTACTCTGAACTCGCTTTATCTCCCTGCCTGGCAACATTTATGTTCTTTGCTTATATTTGTTCTCAATAGCAAAGTCAGTAAGGAGGGCTCTAGTCGAGGTGCTCTCAGGGCTGAAACATGACAACTCCATCAGGGTGTATGTGGGGGTCTGTCTGGGCTCCAGTTCTCTAGGAAGTGACTGCCTGTGTTCTGTACACTTAATCATGTCATGGCTGACAAAACCAAAGGCTAGGACCAGCAAGCTGGGACTGACTGGCTCTAAACTAGCCAGATCCACCTGCGTCTGGGGAGGCTGAGGTGCAGTGAATTCACTTGACGAAAGATAAATGGTGCCTTTATTTACAGGTGTCTGTGATGGAGTATGTCACTGCAGTTGTTTGCCTTGGGTTTCCTCTGCTTACTGTGGATGGCCCCCGGGGGGTAAGAGCGAGGTGAAACTGGTTGGTCTTTGGCAATGGGAGTGGGGACAGCGGGAATGTGGGACACTGGAGTGCATGCTGCATCCGGGGTAGAGTGAGGCCTCTGCAGGTTCTCAGCTGACGTTTCTGCACAGCTTCAACGGCAGTCAGTGCTTCCTGAGCACCAGTTGGCTAAATCTAAACTGCTGCCTCCCTCTTTTAGGATGTGGATGATCCCCTCTTGGACATGAAGACTCCAGTCCTCTTTGTCATTGGTCAGAATTCTCTACAGTGTCACCCTGAAGCCATGGAGGACTTCCGGGAAAAGATTAGAGCAGAAAATAGCTTGGTGGTGGTTGGGGGAGCTGATGATAATCTCAGGTAGGTACATTCCTCTAGAGCTGAGAGGGAACATGTTAGAATGTTAAAAAATTTCTTGTCTGGTGGTAGTGTAATGATAGACCAGTGTGACTGAAATAACAAAGTTTCATCATGTAATGCCAATGTATGTTCAGGAGGCTGAAGCAGGATTCTCTTTGAGGCCAGCCTGGCCCTTGAACTTGTCTCAAAAACTTAAAAACAAAAGAGCTGCAAGAAATCCAAAATCTCATCTGTCCTTTACCTAAGAGTTTCTTGTATAACCAAAATACGATCTTCAAATGAGGAGATTAATGTCAATTTGATAGCATTGTCTAGTCTAAATAACACACTTAGATTTCATCAGTGTCTCCCTAGTGTCTGTCTCTTTTTGAGATAGGATTTCTTGTAGCCTAGGCTGTAAGATTTACCATGTGCTGAGGATGACCCTGACTGAACACATCCTCCTGCCCTAACTACTGAATCTCCATACTCAGTCTTCAGTGTTTGTTTTCTGTGACCTTAACACCATTAAAGACAGCTGACCAGTTATGTTACAGATAGTTTAGTTTTTTAAAAATATTTTGGGATTACATTGAAGACATTCAGTGTATTCTGTCAGTCAGGGGAAACATTAAATTTGTCTCATTACCACTGATAATAACATTAATCACGTAATTGAGATAGTTGCTGTGGGATTCTCCACTATGAAATTATTGTTTTTCCCATTGTAATTAGGAGTCATCTTGTGGGGAGAAGATACTTTGAGATTCTTTGTCATCAAACTTTTCCTAGGGTAGGCATTAAAAAATTTTTTTCCTTAGTGAGAATCAGTGTGAATATAGATGTACTTGTGTTAAGCCTGACTGGATACATTTTGAAGTATAAATAAAACCAAGTTTGGGGAGGGGTTTTAGGAAGCTCAGTCTTAGAAAACACCTTGACTTGTAGGGTTTTTGTTTGTTTCTTGAGACAGTTTTACTATTCAGCTCTGGTTCTCCTGAAACTATCACTCTGTAGACCAGGCTGGCCTCAAACTCACAGGTCCTGGGATTAAAGACATGCAAAAAGCTTGGGCAAATAAATGCCTGTTCCTGTCTGTATGGTTTCTATTTGGGCTTCTTGTAGGAGTCTTTTTGGACTTTGTCATTTGCCACTTGATTACTGACGTTCAACTCAATGTTTTCATGCAAACATGTTATTTTTGCTGATATTCAGATGATCCACAAGAGAATAGAGCATATGTATATTAAGGGAATGAGGAAGAATAGAACGCTGGCTGCTGTTGAGTTGTGATGAAACATTAGCATAGGTTGAAGATCACTGGACTAAGGATTGGGAAACTTCAATTAGTCTTAATTCCTTTATGTAGAAGTTTGGATAAGTTGCTTAACTGAAAATGATGGTGTTAATGTATAATCAAGATCAAAGACTTTTGTCTTTGATGTCAGACTTTTGTTTAGAGTACAGTTTGTTTACATTTAGTTTTTTAAACTTACTTGAGATAGGGTCTTTTTTGTATCCCTGGCTGTCCTGTAACTCTCTAGGTAGACAGATCTGCCTGCCTCTGCCTCCTGAGTGCCAAAATTAAAGATGTATGCTACCACACCTTGCTTTAAAAAAATTAAAAATAATTTAAAAATTTTTGTGTGTTCGAGGATTCCCGTACCACAGAACTTTTATGGAGGTCAGAGCACAAGTTGGAGTTAGTTCTCTCCTTTTAAACTATGTGAGTCCTGAGCAACTCAGGTTGGAGGATCAACATGAACATAAGTATTATTTGAATTAAGCTTCCTTTAAGTCGTTTTGGAGGGTAAATATAGATTTAATAATGTTACTCTCCCATCATATAACTTAGGGTCCTGGTTTCCTTTTCCAGGTTTTTGTTATTTTAAGACAGAGTCTTATAGATAAACTTTTTTCACAGTCCTCCCCCCTTCTGCGTGTGTTGGGGAGGAAAGGAAGAGAGAGAGAGGTGTGTGTGAATGGAGGTATACATATAGCAGGACATGGGAGCATAGCATTGTGTGGAGGTCAGAACAACTTTCAGGGTCAGTTCTCTCCTCTCACTCTGGGTGGCAGAGTTTGAACTTAGTCATTAGGCTTTCCCTGCAAGCGCTTTTGCGTACTCAGTCATCTCACTGTTTTCTCTTTTTGCCTCTTAGAATAAGCAAAGCAAAGAAGAAATCAGAAGGCTTGACTCAAAGCATGGTGGACAGATGTATTCAGGTAAACAGTTTTCTCGTTTTGTAGCAGGGCCTTCTTTTCTGTAGCTTTAGGTTTAGTCTTACTGGCAGCAGCTTACCCACTTGTCATGAAGGGTATCAAGTAGGTTCTGTGGTGTACCTAAATCACAGTCAAAGAAATTGGGGAAAAAAGAGCAAAGGAGAGGTGAACTAAGATAAAGATATGGGTGAGGCATCTAGGGGTGGTGTGCCCACAGCTGCTTTCACATAGGCACCTGCTGGTCCTCGCCGAGGAGCTTGGCCTTGCTGTGACTTTGTGAGTGGGAAGAACCATCACTTGGGAGTAGAGTTCTGTTTAGCTTGATGTTATTTGGAGGGTCCTGTTCTCCAGAGGAGGACTCAGGCCTTGCCTTCTTTTCACACTAGGATGAGATTGTGGACTTCCTGACTGGAGTGCTCACTCGTGCCGAAGGGCATGTGGGGTCTGAGCCTCGGGATCAGGATGCTGAGAAGAAAAAGAAGCCCCGGGACTTGGCCCGAAGAGATTTGGCCTTTGAAATTCCTGAGCGAGGCAGTCGACCTGCTTCCCCAGCTGCCAAGCTCCCCACCTCCCCCTCGGGCTCAGAGGTAGTGTGGGCAGGGGGAGAGCACCTTTGTTGAAGTGTGAAGATGCATAACTGGGAATTCCTATAAGGGGAGATCCAGGGAGACATGCCAAGTGATGGCTGGATGCAAACCTTTGGACCTTGTCTACTCAGGATCTCTCCAGTGTGTCCAGTAGCCCCACCTCTAGCCCTAAGACCAAAGTGACCACTGTGACCTCTGCCCAGAAGTCCAGTCAGATTGGGACTTCCCAGCTGCTGAAAAGACATGTGCAGAGGACAGAAGCCGTGCTAACCCACAAACAAGCCCAAGGTATAGTCTCCTGGCCTAGCAGCCCCTGTGGACTCTGTCTCCTGCAGCTAATGTTGTGTGGCAGTTGGAAGGCATTAGATCTGCAGCTTTTTCAGGACAGTGCGAGAGGCAACCTTTCCTGTGTTGTTTCTAGGCAAAATCAGGTTGCCATGAAATCCCAAAACTCTGTGGGACTAGGCCTTGTGTTCGCTAGTCATGGCCTTGTCCGTTGGTGTGCTGGAGACATGAACTTAAAAGCTGACTGTGTGTAGTGACCTGACCTCTCTTCTAATTACTAATTGGAGAAGCCACGTACTTTGTCAGCCATTCCTGTAGTCAGAGGGCTCTGCAGATAATAAGCACGGAGTGACTATGATTTTATTCCTTGGGTTCTAGGCCAGCTCACCTTGCCCTTCTTTTTTTTTTTTTTTTTTTGGCCTTGAAGAGAGCTCCGTGATGGGTTATCTACAAATTTGGTCAGGGTTCTGTAGTTAAGCTTCAGTTGAGAGTGGGAAATATTTGTGTTGTTGAAATCAGGGTTTGGAGGAATCCAAGGGCTATGTGGGGAGCCATAGAAAAGGGAAAATTCAGTAGGTCAAGAAAGAAGCATCAGTGGTTCTGTCCCTTATGTTGGTCTGTTCCATCCCCCACCCCCACATGATCCTGTGTTCACCTCCCCTTTTGCTTTTAATGGAGCCAGAGGTTTATTACTTAAACCTAGACGTCTTATGAAATGCTACTCACAAGTATGAGTGGGTGGGTGAAGGCAACAAAAGAGGCTCGGCCACTAGGGTCTGTGGATGCCCTGTAACCTGACTTTTCCAAAGTGGTGGGAAAGAGCTGAGTTCCTGATGGGACTCTCATAGAAATTTGGTGAAGGCAGAACTAGCAGATTGCTGTCTTTCTGGGTAGCGTGATTAGTGGAGATACAAAAGTGATCTTGAAGGCTGAGTAGTGAGCTGGTTTAGGATGGGGCCCAAGAATGTCAATGGGGACATCTATAGTCATAAAGTCATGGTTGCAGAGCTGATGGGTGGGTGGGGAGTGGTAGTTAATATAAACAGAGTCTTCACTACCTGCTGCCCTGCTTTGGGGTTGACCTGCCCTAGCATGTTGAGGCTTGGCGATGGCCCCAAGTGGCAAGTACACAGCCAAGTCAGGTTCCAGATCCCTGTAGTTGCCTCAGAAAGAGCACCCACTGACCATTTTCATCTTTTCCTTGTTCCCACTCTGTTCCTCCATTCTCTAGCTGGCTATGATTCTATAATTCTTTCTGATTCATTCCAGCACAGTTTGCTGCTTTTCTGAAACAAAACATGCTGGTGAGGAAAGCTTTTCCTCCCGGCGCCTCCTCCTGTCTCTTTGGTGAGTATTGTTTTCACCTGCTCGCCTGGGCTTGCTGCTCCCCCCTGCCTCACTCTCCCCCTCTCTCCACTGTTGCTTCTTTTCCTGACTCTTTCCACCAGCTCCCCTTGCTTATGCAGTGGCCTTTGCTTCTTTCAGTTCTTTCTGTTGGTTTCTCATGGTGGTGGTGTTTTTTATTGTTTTCTTTTTCTTTCTCACTGTGGTTTTTCTTGGTTCTGTGTTTCTCTCATGTGCCTCTGGCCTGTTGCCTGTAAGCCCGCATTTCCTTGTCTTGTTTTCTCCCTGCCTTGGTTGTTTCCATCCTGACTGCTGCAAGCACACCAGGCACTTAGAGCATTCGCCTTTCTCCTCTGTTTTAAGCCAGTACATTTATCCCTAAGCAGTTCTTCTAACAGGTAATTGATTCCCTCACTGTGGCCTCATGCCAGGGAACCCCCCCCCCCCATTCAGTGGACTGCTGTCTTCCTCCCTTCCCCAGCCTGTTTTCCTGTGCTAAGAAGGACTAAATAAAGGGAGGAGACTTCTGAGTATAAAGAATAGGAGCACTGAGAAAGCGTAAAGGATAGAAAGTCCACTAGGCTTACCTTTATGCATAGTGATCTGTTTGAGTTAATGGAAACCCATATCCCCTGACCTGGCTGTGACATGGGTCACTTCTGCCCTATTATCTTTGGGCAGCATCTGAGATACTGCCTCACCCGGTAGTTCCTGAGAGCCAGAAAGTCCAGGGCAGCTGAATGAGCTAGAGCTATCTCTGAGATGCTCCAAGTTGGGTCCACAATGGGTGGGAGCTGATGTAGAAATATGAGGTGTAACCTGTACCTGGGGCATGTCCCCACATGGCTGCTTTTAGTTGACTTGACCTATGCTATTCATGTAAGCTTATGGAAGATCTTAACTCGGCTCCATTTTTTAGTTCCTATTTCATCAGAACCCATGGAGGAGGCAGAGAAAGAGGAGCTTAGGGTCCAGCTGAAGCGGCACCATCCTTCCAGTCCTCTTCCCGGTGCAAAACCCTCCAAGCGACCAAAGATCAAAGTGTCCCTGATCTCCCAGGGGGACACAGCTGGAGGGCCTTGTGCTCTTTCTCAAGGTGGAACTCCTGAAGGTGGGTCTTTTGTGGAGTGTTGGTAAAGGCTGACCAGCTTTTCCAGGCACAGTTTGGCAGGTGGCCCAGCCGCTGTCAGTGTGAAGGACACCTGGACAGAGATGCTCTGAGGTCATACATGGTGGAATGTGGCAGTTCCCTTGTCTCAACAAGGGAGACGATAGAAGAGGAGTTGTGGGGCTGTTTAGAACATTTCATATTTTGTCCCTTTCTGGTTTTCAATTAAGGTAATGAGCTACTTCAGAAAGCTTAAAAGATAGAAGGAAGGGAAGAACCCTGACTCTCCTGAAATGGCATAGCTATTCTTTTTTGCCTTGCAGTCTTAAATTTAGCCTTGGTTATGGGACAAATTAGGACTGACCTTTGGTCTTGGGGTTTGTTTTGCAGCTGCTGGGGCGAAACCCATCACCATGGCGCTGGGAGCTTCAGTGGGAGCCAAGGAACTCACTGGACTTCTCACCACAGCCAAGTGAGTCTGCCTTTGGTCTTTCCTAGTCCCTCCTTTCCCTTCCTCGACTTCTGGTTCAGTGGGTATTCAGGGAAGTTGAAAGATTCTGGAGTCTGTCAGTTATGGGCATGTGACTTCTTTATGATTCAGAACTTTCCTTCATTTCTGTTAGTTTAGAATTGATTTTTCCTTATGAGATCACAGAGCATCCACTGACTTTATTTAAGACCTCTGTTCTTTAAGTTAGGTCTGACTTTTAGAAGGATAAATTTGGGACTTAGAAGCTGAAATAAAGAAAACGGAAAATTCTTCCTTGCTAGCTTCACTCTAGACTCTTCCTTTATGGCTGTGGACTGCTGCCCTTTGGATGACAGGGCTCCTTCATTTGCTTCCAGGTCAAGTTCTTCTGAAGGTGGAGTTGTAGCCAGCGCAGCCCCATCTGTGGCTTCCAGCAGTGCCACACCCAATGCCATCCACACACTGCAGAGCCGCTTGGTGGCCACTTCTCCTGGCAGCTCCCTTCCAGGTATCTCTACCAGCAGTCTTTTGGGTAGACTGCTGGAGGGTGGTCTTAGACCAGTAGCTCTGAAACTGGAATTAGAGGTAGTGTCTCTGCTCTCCCACGGATTGCAGAAGCTAACAGAAAGCTGGAATTAGCTTGGATAAGGGAAATTCTTTGTTTTAATATCGGTAGGGGCTGTGTCCTCTATTGTGAGGATAGGCAATGCCTACTCTGTGATTCTTCTTTTTAATACTAAATAAAGCTGGAGGTAGTACTAACTGGACATTAGCAAAATAACATTATGATTTTCCTCTTTGTCACTTTTTCTGACCCTAGCCTGCATGGAAGGGCTGCTTGCCTGATCTCAGTTTAGACTATTGCTGAATTACCTTCCCTTGAAGCAGATTTTTGCTTTGAGAATGTTGGACTGTGTGTAATGTGGTCTGGTATCTTAATCCACATGGCTTCACAAGTCTCCTTACCTAGAAATAGAAAGGATTTAGGGTTCTGAAAAGTGGGATTCAAGCTCTTTGGTGTTCCTAACCCTGCTCAAAATGCAGGACTTCTGGCTTAGAACAGGTTGGGATGTGCAGAGCAATTCCAAGGCAGTGTCTGGCATAGCGCCTCTCCTTGTGTGGTATCTACTGTGTCTGCTGAGAGACTCCTGTTATCTTTGTGAGGGCAGGGAAGTGTCTTAGGGCAAGTTTAAGTTGCTGTAAGGGTGAAAGTGTAGCTGCTTGTGGTTGTATATAAGTGAGTGACCTGCTGCTACCTGCCTTGTCTTCTCCTAGGGGCCACTTCAGCCAGCAGCCTCCTCCAAGGCCTCAGCTTCAGCTTACATGACATTAGCAGCAAGACCTCTGGCCTCCCAGGAAGTCCCTCCCCAGGGCCAGCTCCACAGGTATATCATCTGCTGTGTTGGGCAGTGTGGAATTAGGACTCCTTAATTTTGTCAGGACTTGGTGGGTTAAGGACAAGGAGTCTTCTAAATATGCAGCCAAAAAGCTACCAGACGTTATAATCAATGACTTACTGTATGGCCTTTGGTTAGATTCTTGACTTATCTGTCTTGTTTATCTATAAAATAAGATAATAATAATAATATTAGTTCCCTCATACTTTTGCTTTTGTTTGTTTGGGTTTTTTGGTTTTTTGAGACAGGGTTTGTCTGTATTGCTTTGGAGGTTGTCCTGGAACTCACTCTGTAGACCAGCTTGGCCAAGAACACAGAGATCCGCCTGCCTCTGTCTCCTTAGTGCTGGCATTAAAGACATGCCCGGCCCCCTCATACATTTGTGATGACTAAAGATGATATATGCAAAATTCCTGGAAGAGCACTTTAACATGTGGTAGACCCTGTACGTGTTAACCGTTAATAGTAGCTGTGGACTCTCTAGGCTCTAATGTTGCTGTTGAGTGGGTGGTAACTTCTAATCATTTGGTTATATGTCCAATAGGCCACCGGTGTGAAATTGCCAACCCCCATGCAGAGCCTGGGTGCCATCACCACAGGCACGAGCACCATTGTCCGTACTATTCCTGTGGCCACCACTCTCTCCTCCTTGGGTGCCACTCCTGGTGGGAAGCCCACTGCCATCCACCAGCTGCTGACCAATGGGGGCCTCGCTAAGTTGGCAAGCAGCCTACCTGGCTTGGCTCAGATTTCTAACCAAGCATCAGGTAAGTCTTCTGAAAATATTGGGGACTCCAGATCTGGACTTGACCATAGCACTTTACTAACCATCTCACTTAGGCAATGTCTAAACCCAGCCTCACGTGGTCCTGGCTTTTGATTCTTGGATTCAACTCTGTGGAGCCAGCCCCCAGGAAGGTCTAGAAAACACAGGAAGTTTCCTTTAGCCTTTCAAATTGACTGATAAGGGTAGACCTACCCACCCAGGAAGGAAACCAAGAGGATGTTTTATATGGGAAGAAACTATTACCTGAAAAGGCTATGATTCTGTTTTTCCTTTCTCTATGTGTGTCTCTTCCTTAGGCTTAAAGGTCCCCACCACCATTACTCTGACACTCCGTGGCCAGCCAAGCAGGATCACCACTCTAAGCCCTATAGGCTCAGGAGCAGCACCATCCGAGGATCCCACCTCCCAGATGCTGCCCTCTAGCTCACAGGTGAGTTGACTTGTACTGACCCAGGAAGTGAGCTCCAATCCTAGGTAAATTTAGGGCCATCCGAAAGGTTAACTGTAGCTGCCATTGTACTACATTTGTTGGCAGACTAGCTTCAAATTTGAAACCTGACGTTTATTCATAGCTTTGTCATTTTGAGCAAGGCAGGGCTGTTGTGAGAATTGAGTTTGTGAATACTCAAGTATGACTGTGACTGGGGTATAATGTTTTTATGTATTTGTCTCTTCCTTTTCTCCTCCCACTTCTGCTTTCATCATTCAGAGCTTGTGAGTAAAAGCTGATTCTCAGACCTTGTCTTTATTGCTGTATTTAGGGTGTAGCTAGGTTTTTTGTTTGTTTGTTTTGTAAGGTTTACCTAGAAGTTGCCATCAGTTCCTTTTAGCATTTCCATTATGTCATTTTAAAGTAAAATAAAATGGTCTTATTCTAAAAATGTTGATCTGAGGAACCAGCTAAAGATAGGAGGCTAAGCAAAAATAGTCCTGGTCCAACATTGTACCATTCTCCAGAAGCCAGTTCAGTCAGACCTTCTGCATTGGACAAGGAGCTGTAAGTTACTTATCTTCAGGTGGGCCCAGTCCCTATCCTTCCACCAGGCCAACCTGCCTGGGCACAGAGGAGCGGGGTACTTAACTTCACTTACTTGGGGCTGACTTCCAGTTTCAGAGGTTTTGTCTATTATCATGGTGGGACATGGCAGCATGTCGGGTGACATGGTGCTGGAAAAGGAGCTGAGAGTTCTGTCTTGATTTTTAGGCAGAAGGAGAAGCTATGGCACATTGGGCATAGCTTGAGCCCACCTCCACAGTGGCACACTTCTTCCAACAAAACCGCACCCCCTAGTGCCATTCCCTGACCCTACAGTTCCGAGCTGTTCTCTAAGCCCTTCTGCCTCTGTACTATTTATATGTGGGCACATGTGCCGTGGCATGTGTGTTTTCTTAGTTTGGTTTTAATTGCTGTGATAGAGACCATAACAGAAAACAACTTGAGAAGGAAGTAATTTTTCCACCTTTAAGTCCATCATGAAGAGAAATCAGGGCAGGAAGGAATTTACAACCAAATCTGTAGGCAGGGACTGAAACCCAGGCCAAGGAGGCACACTGCTTATTCCTTGTTCTTTATGGCTCGCTCAGTTTGCCTTCTTATAACAAGCCAGGACTGCCTGCCTAGGAGTGGCACTGCCCACGGCGAGCTTAACCCTCCCAAGTCAGTCGTTAGTCAAAAAATGCTCTTTAGACTTGCATATATGTAAACGATGGAAGCATTTTCTCAGTTGTGGTTCCTTTTCCCAGGTAATGAGCTGTGTCATATATGGGGATTAGAGGACAACTTTTTGGAGTTGGATCTTGGTCACCTCTGTGAATTTTGACATACGGTGGCTTTATAGTAATTCTTTGTTACACAGTTTCTTATGCTTTGTCCCAGTCAGTAGATTGTCTTATATTTGTTCTTGTTTTGTTTGTTTGTTTTTGTTTTTCTGTATGTCTGAATGTTTTGCCTGATTATGCATGTGTGCATTCCGTAGCCCTCAGACCAGAAGAGGGCAGGCTCCAGATCCCTTGAAATTAGAGCTAAAGATAGTTGACAGTTGCAAGCCACCATGTGGGTGCTAAGAACTAAATTCTGGTTCTTTGTAAGAATATCAAGCACACTTAATTACTGAGCCATCTGATCAGCCCCTACATATTATGTTTTTTGAGACAGGATCAGGCCCAGGTTAGTCCTGAATTTGATAATGTAGCTGAGGATTGCCTTGAACTCTTGATCCTCTCCTCCATCTCCCAAGTTCTCCCACTACTGGTATATATCCACCGTCTCACCCAGTTCCTTGGTGGTTTTTGATGATGCTTAGGATTTAACCCAGAGTCCCATGTATGCTAGGTAAACACTCTGCAAGTGAACTCTATTCCTAGCCTATTTATCTTTTCCATATTTGACTTTTCACGTCAATTTCTGAATCTTGTAATATATATAGGGTGTGTGTGTGTGTGTGTGTGTGTGTGTGTGTGTGTGTGTGTGTGTGTGCTTGTATGGGTGTGTGTGTTGCTCACACTTGTACAGGATGGGAACCAGAGATTGGCATTGGGGTATCTTCCTCATTCACTTCCCCACCAATTGTTGAGGCAGGATCTCTCTGTGAATCTGGAACTTGTCATTTTGCTAAGATTGGGCAGACCTTGGGCCCCCAGGATTATCGGTGTTCACCATGAGAATTTTATGACTGGAAATCTGAACTCAGGCCCTTATACCTATTCAGCACTTAGCCTACTGAGCTGTCTTTCCAGTTCCCTTTTTGACTTATTTTTAAGACAGTGTCTTGCTAAATTGCCAGGTTTACCTCAAAGCAGTGATTATTCTACTTCAGCCTCCCAAGTAGCTAGGATTACAGGCATATAGCTTAAAAAAAATGTCTTTTGAGATATAGGGTCTCACTATATAGTCTTGCTGGCCAGGAGCTTGATAATGTAGACCAGACTGAGATCATCCATATCTGCTAGAATTATAGCCAGCCATTTTTGTTTATTTTTTGAGACAGGTTTCCCTATGTACGAGCAGCATAGGGTTCTTTATTTTGGACCCTCTTTATTTCTGTTTTTGTTGTTTTTTTGAGACAGGGTTTCTCTGTGTAGCTTTGGCTGTCCTGGAATGTGCTCTGTAGACCATGCTGACCTCAAATTTACAGTGATCTGTCTTTCTCTGCCTCCCAAGTGCTGGGATTAAAAGCATGTGCCACCACCACCCAGCTTTTATTTTTGTTTTTGAGGCAGGGTTTTGCTATGTAGGCAAACTGTCAAGCCTTAGCCTCAGCCTTGCAAGTACAGGCACCACCGTGCCTGTAAATTTTCATGCCCATTGAAGTAAAGGGTGTCTGTTTTTCCTTAAAAAGCATTTGAAGTCCTGCTTTTATATTCCATGTTACTACACATATATGGGACTTTTCTATGACATTGTCCTCTTTCTACATTAGCTTTTTGTTGTCTGAAAATGTAGGTCCATGCCCTATCAGTATTGTCCCCATGAGATAAACACTTCCTTTTTTAGTTTAAATGATTCATTCAATAACATTCCTAATATTCAGCTGTCTGAATTCCAAATTCAGTGGTTTATTCAGTATGTCCTGTTTGCTCCTTTTTATTTGTTTAGTTTATTTCTTTGAGACAGGGTCTTATTGCATAACCCTGGATGACTTTAAACTTTTGATTCTCTTAGCTTAGCCTCTCAAATGCTAGGATTGCATGCACCAATTATCTCATCTTAGTTTTGCTTCAGTTTTGTCCTGTTCTTTTTGTGATGGAGGTCTTTGTTGTTCAGACTGGTCTCATGTGCAGTGTATCTATCTCTTCCAAGTTGCCAGAACTACAGAAAAGAAGGACATACTATTTAAGAGAAGCATGTCCTTTTTTTTTTTAAACTACCATAAACCAGATGTGGTGGTGCATGACTTTATTTATTTTTAAATACTTTATTTAACTTTATTTTATATGCATTGGTGTAAGGATACCAAATCCACTGAACTGGAGTTACAAACAGGTATGAGCTGCCACGTTGGTGCTGGGAATAGAACCCAAGTCCTCTGGAAAAGCAGTCATACTGCTCTTAACCACTGAGCCATCTCTCCAGCTAGAAGCATATCCTTTTGATTAATGTCTATTTCACTTGAGATTTTCGCTCCATATATTAATGTTAGCCTATAGTTATTTTTGTGTGTGTTTCCTTTTTTTTCTTTCACAGCGTGTGTGTGTATGTGTGTGTGTACTGTTGCTGACCAGTTTTGTTAAAGATCATTTCAGCCGTTATAGAATGCAATATTAAGGAGCGAACACTTAGGGTAGGGCTTTGTCTTCACCTAGTGGCTGGTGATCCTGAGCACACCAAATGAATTACTGAGGTTTGGGCTTTTTCATCAAGTTTGCTGAGGAGATTGACAAGTCAGTGTCTTAGGTAGGGTTGCTATGATAAATACCATGACCATAAACAACTTAGGTGGGAGAGAGTTTATTTCATTTTAGATGTTCAGATGACATCCATCATGAAGGGAAGTCAGGGCAGAAACTGAAGCGGAAGCCTTAGGAGAATGCTACTTGGTAGCTTGCTCTCATGGCTTGCTCAGCCTACTTTCTTAGAGGACCCATGGGTGCCATTGGGTGGCACAGTGAGATTGGTTGGTTGTCAGTTAAGAAGATGCACTACAGGCTTGTCCACAGCCCAGTCTAGTGGGGGCATTTTCTCAATTGAAATTCTCTCGAAATTACTCTGTCTTGTTTCAGATTGACATAAAACCAGCCAGCGGAGTCAGGGACCTTACAAATACAAATGTTTAAATCACAAAAAAACAAACCGCCCATTTTTCATTTATGAGACAATTGGAAATTTGAACACTCAGTGAACACTTGTGGATATTAAAACATTTTTTGCTTTTGTTGCTATTTTTGAGACATGCACTCAAATATGTAGCTCAGACTGGTCTTTATCTTAGTAGCATCTTTCCTCTGCCTCCCAAGCACTGGGGTTTTTGTCCTCATGCCAGCACTTGTTAAACTTTCTATATGTGGTAATGGTATTTTACCTACTTTTTGTTTTGTTGTTTGAGACAGGGTTTTACTATATGTGTCCATGACTGGCCTGGAACTCACTATGTAGATCAAGTTGACCTCAACCCCAGAGACATCTAAGTGCTGGGATTAAAGGCAGGAACTGCTGTTGGCTCATTTAATGAAAAAACAGTTGAAACCCTAAACACACAAATCCTGGAGATAGAGTCAAGAGACTCAGAAGGTCATCCATCCTCAGCTGAACTGGGCCAACATATCTTTTTCTTTTTCTTTTTTTCTTTTTGGTTTTTTGAGACAGCGTTTCTCTGTATTGCTTTGGAGCCTGTCCTGGAACTCACTCTGTAGACCAGGCTGGCCTCCAACTCAAAGAGATCCTCCTGCCTCTGCCTCCTGAGTGCTGGGATTAAAGGTGTGTGTCACCAATGCCCATCGATGGGGGCATATCTTAAAGAAGTAGTTGTTGTTTTTAATTTTAGAATTTCTTAGTATCATACTCATGCATGGAATGGGTTTTAAGAAAGAACGTAAGTACCAACTAACTTTGGTTATATCCATGAAACATTTAATTACCTGGTTTCTGGACTAAATAGTGCTTTCCACATGTTTCCTTGACGGGAATGAACTATTGTGTGTCCTGATAGCTAAGGGCTGCAAATGGAAGAAGACAGTTGTAGCATACATCATAGTTCTGAGAATGGACTTCTGGCTATACTTCAGTCTCTGTGTCCTGACCACACCATGATGGTGTCAGGCTGGGAGGCCCTCTTGCTGTTGTCTGTGGCAGTGGGCCTCACTTAAAATCAGGGCAATGACCTCCTGTGTGAGCCCGTTTTATCCTGGGTCTGTGTAGCAAGTAGGAAGTGGACTTTCTGAGAGATTTCCCCTTCCATACTCTTGTTCACTGTGGTCCTGTGGTTTCTGAAAGAAGTGTAGAAACGTGGTAGACATTGTTGCGAAGAGCCCATCCTTCTCCCTGGCTTCCTTCTTCCCAGGCTGCAGCCTCACAGTGTGGTACCCTTCATGCCTCCAAATATCCCAGGACCTAAAGTGATACTGTCGGAACAGTCATGGAAATTTCCCATTGATTCTATCTAGTTACTCACCTGTTTCCTCTTCTCTGCGTTCCTCTTCTGTCCTTGGGCGTGATACATGCTACTACGAGCTGACCGTTGTGGTTGTGGTTGAGCATGGGTTGTACTGTTGATGCTTTATGTGGTTATGTCACTTAATCCTTGAAGTAGGTGAGAAAAAGGAAGCTCAGAGCCTGTGAGCTAGGGAGCCCCTCACCCTAACAAGGGCCAGTTGAGCCTGACTCCAGACAACACCCAGGGGCTTTACCTTGGGCGTCCTCTCCTGTTGATCATTCCCTTTGGATTGAGTTCTCAGGAGTGAGATGATTGACTCAGAGGAGGGGTCTAATCTGGGCAAGATGTAACCGTGTTCACCCTTCTGCTCACAGCGCCTGCCTCCAGCACCCTGAATGTGCCAGCGATATGTCCTCCTTACCAGGTTGGTGACAGCTGCCTCAAGGTGAACCGTGTGGTCCTGCTGAGCCGTCTGAGTGTCTGAAGACATCCTTAAGACAGTCGTTTTCACCTCTACCAGCTGTCTTTGGGGCTGGACCTCTGGGTCTTGAGAAAGCCTTAAGGCTGGGTAATAATAGTGCCAGCAAAGGGGGATGCTATCCAGGGCCAGCAAGTTGGTTCCTAGAATCCCCAGCAGGACTGGCCGTGTGTGGATTGTTGGCATTTCTATCCTAACAGTAATGCAGTTTGACTCCAGTGTCAGTATAGAACTGCTCGCTGAAGTTTCATGATGAAGGCAGGGAGAACTGGGCTGTTAGCTTTCAGCCCTTTAGCTGCTGGGGAAGTGAGGAATGGTTTGTGCACCATGTTTTATGCACTTCCTGTACCAGAGAGCCTGTAGGTGAGGGATGGAGCAGCCAGAGGAATGGTTGGCAAGACACACCCACAGACCTGATGCTGCTGACACTTTGGACTAGGGACTCTGCATGACACCTGAGGACCTAAGATTAGCTAGAGAAGGGGGATTAGCCAAGTCAGAGGGAAAACCTGGACCCCTGAGAGTTCTCTTTGGTGCGTGGTAATGAAGCAGATTGACCAGCTACCATGCTGTCTGTTAGGAAGCGTGGGGCAGTAGGAAGGTTATAGTGACTACTGTGTGAGCCTCTGGTGCCAGTCTGAACCATGCAGATCGTGGTCCCTGGTGATGCGGACACGGAAGGTGGAGCTGAGCCTCTCATCTTCTATGACACTGCAGATGTAGCCGGGAGTTTGGCTCTGAATTTGTATTCCAGAGCAGGCTCCTTTCCTTTTCATATGTAGAAAGTTTCCATCCAGATGAGAAATAAAGCTGCTCAAGTGTGACTTTGTTCCTGGGGCCATAGACAGCAAAAGGAATAAAAAAAAAACCCAACTCTGCATAGCCTCTCACTTGTAATCTGAGTGGAGCATGTAGTGTTGAGGAGCCTCGGGTGAGTCAGGTCAGAGATGTGTGATAGGAGTAGAGAGTGGTCTCCGACCTCCACGCCCTGACGTTGGCCGTGGAGCTGCTTGCACAGAGCTTCAGAGTGGGCTGTATTCTGAAATTCAGAAGGTGTTCAGTGAAGTTGAGAAGGTATGAAGTCTGGAGGAGACCTGCAGTGCTGGGGCTTCAATAGCTTTGTAGTTCAGAGCATATAACCACCAAAAGAGAGGGTAAGACTGGGCTCTGAAACTTGGAGGGATATTTAGGTTGGCAGAGGACCCTGAACAACCCTTTGTGACTTAGGAGAACAGCTTGAACAACACTGGAGGGGCTGCTCCTGAAGGATGCTGCCCCTGTGTTCTGGAACCAAAGAAAACGTGTATCCTGCTTTGGTGGTGGATCTATGTACATCCCATGGGTGACTTCTGAGGCATGGCCTATATACCTTGAAGAACTGCAAAACTGAGGAAGGGGAGCTACAGCACATTGATCTTCACCTCGGGGGACTGACCTGACAAGGAAGTGTCTGGAGTCTGTAGATGACATTCCTCAGATCCCATCTCAAACCACAGAACTTGGAATGTGGAAAGATGCTTTCCCTTACCCATCTTGTGACAGACTGGAGGGCATAGCCTCAGAAGGTAATACTCTTATGGAGTATGTAGACGGATCAGGAAGGCTTTAAATTCTCGGGCAACAGATGTATTGTAAATGCTTCATGGAAGATGTCTGTGGCTTTGAGAAGAGGTCACAGGGACAGAGACTTGTCCACCTTTGGTTGTATCACTATAATAATTCGGGGGTGTATGAATTCATAAAAGTGAGCCATAGTAATGGTTCTGATCTTACGTTAGAAAAAAGAATTAAACAAAAAAACCTGCGTTGCTTCAGTTTGTTTTTATTTGATTCTGCATGCTTTGGGAGTTGCCTGTGCAGTGGAGACAGACTATAGAGAGTGGTGGTACTTGAGGTTATCTTGCTGCTGTCAGCTGCTGAGACCTAGGCACTGTAATTCTTAAGAAAAATCAAAACAAAAACAGGTTACATGTAGTCTAGGCAGGCCTCAGATTTATTGTGTAGCTCAACTGGCCTTTAATTCCTGGTTCTCTGCTTCTGCCTCCTGAATGCTGGGAGTACAGGCACTTATCACCACACCCAGCTGTCATTCCCTTTATGGGTGAGGATGAAGTATGGGCTGATGTCTGTTCTGGGTTCTGAGACGGAAGACCAGCCTAGGAGATGAAGAGTGGCCTTTTTCAGTTTTCCTGTCAGGCTAAGAGTAATTGTTGCCTGAGTGGAGCTCTCACGAGGCCTCAACCAATAGCTAACCCTGGCAGACAATTGCACAGCTGAAGGCTGCCCCTTTGACCCCGAAATCTACCCTTCAGCTTACTTGTGCATCTGTAGCAAAAGGGATCTCCTCCACCTCTTTTGATTCTTAGGTCCTTCTAGTCTTCCACCTCAGAACACAGAACAGACCACACCCACCTCTTCCTCACCTCTAAAGGGAATGCCAGTTGAGTGTGCAAGCAAATGCCCATACTCCCAACATTTAGGAGGCAGAAGCAGAGGAATCAGGAGTTGAGCTACGCAGTAAATCCGATGAACAAGTCTTTGCTGCCTCTTCATCCACTTTCTAAGACGTTTTAGGACTGATAGTTGGAAGGAGCAGACTCCTTTACTATGTTCAGTGGGCATTCTTCACCTCCCAGCTCCTTGTTCGAGATTGGTTCTTATCCAGCCCAGGCCAGTGTTGAGCTCCAGCAGTCTTCCTGCCTCAGACTCATGCATGTTGAGATTACAGGATGACCCTCAGAATCTGACTTTAGAAAGCATCTTACAGATAGGCCGCCTTGGTGCTTCTCCCTGTGACCTTGATTTCAGGATTTGGTTGGTTTTTAAGTTATTTTACTCTCTGTATAAATGTTTTGTCTGTGTGCATGTATATGTACCATATGAGTGCCTGTTGGAATCCCTGGAACTGGTATTACAAATGGCTGAGACACATGTGGGTTCTGGGAATTGAACCCAGGGCTTCTGCAAGAGCAACTTGTGCATGTCCTTAACTGCTGGGTCATCTACCCAGCCCTCCCCCACCCCATTAGGTTTTTTCCCCCATTGTCACAGAACTGTCCATCACAGACTCCTTTGTGGATTCCCGTCTCTTAGTTCAAATTCCAAAGACAGTTCAGTGAGTCATGCAGTTCATATCACTGCCTTTCTAAAAGAAGAAATGAGACACAAACTATTGAGCTGTTTGGCTGTGTGTGTGCTTTAAGGGTCATAGTGTAGGGCCTGTGTGCCCTCACCAACTTTTCCCCACTGCTTGCATTGCACCCGACTAGTGAACAAAATGAGGAGTTGAGGGCTGGGGAGGTGACTCACAGGGTCAGAGTGCTAGTCGATTAGCCTGAAGACCCACGTCTGCCTCCCCCAAACCACATAAAAAGCTGGATTAGTTGCATGCCCTCCTACAGGAAGGTAGAAAGTGGAAACAAGGATTGCCTGGAAGCTTCTGGACCAGCTAGCCTGGAGATCACAGTGCAGCTGGACAGACAAGAGACCCTGCCTCAACAAGCTGTCCTCTGACCCCCACTACTGTGCCATGGCAAACAGTGGATCTCTGTCCCCGAATTCTTACATCCACAGTCAAGGCACAGCTATCCAATTCCTCTACACAGGGTTCTTGTCCGACCCCTTGGCAGTCACTGCCCATCTTAGCCCATAGCAACCACTAATCCCTTCTATGACTCTGTAAATAGAACGATGCAAAAACAGCACTGTACAGTAGATGACCTTAGAGGTTGTCTCTTTTTTTTCCTTCAGTGTAATCCCTTTGATGTCTGTCCAAGTTGAGTGAGGCTTTAATATAGTTCATTCCTTTTATCGCTAAGTAGTAGTCATGATGTGGGTATGCCGCAACTTCAGCACTAGTCTGTTGAGGGATCCTTTTTTTCCTTCAGAGCATGTGTCTTGTGATCAGTCATTGGAATCTCCAGGGTTAAGTGGATGCTGCTGCAGCTGTCCTCTTAAGTTTATCTGCTGGTCCTTCACTGAATCCATGTCTGAATTTGCATTCGGTGGTTTTTCAGATGTCTTACTTGGTCAGTCCCAGTGTCCTGTCTCGTGGCTTTCACACTCAGTTTACACTCTGTCTTGAGCCACGTTTGTTACAGGTCCACTCCCGAAAGCAGAAGGCCTTAGAGCCCTGGCAGCAACAGTGTGTTTGCATGTTACTGCCATGCTTTCAATAGAACATTCCCTTCACCACCTTGCTTCTCCATCTGAGGCCAGAGAACTTGGGGCGCAGCAGCTTGATGTCTTTAACTGCAGCAAGTGATTGTATGCAACTTTTTGTGTGGACATTTGTTTTCGCTTCCCAGGGGTAAATGTCCAAAAGTATGATTACTAGGTCCTGTTGTAAAGTTCTAGTTTTATAAAAAACTGTCAGCCTGGCAGTGGTGGCGCATGCCCTTTAATCCCAGCACTTGGGAGCCAGAGGCAGGCGGATCTGTGAGTTCGAGACCAGCCTGATCTACAAGAGCCAGTTCCAGGACAAGCTCCAAAGCTACACAGGGAAACCCTGTCTCAAAAAACCAAAAAAAGAAACTGTCTTAACTTTTCTAGAATAACTGCCATTTTGCATTGCCAGCAGCAGTGTAGGAGAAACCTGCTGTCTTACCACCTCACTGTCACTTGATGTCTCGTATGTCGTCAGTCTTAACAATGTGCAGGTGACAGTCATTTGGTCTTTTATTTACTGAGACTTGTTTATTATGGTCTGGAATGTGGTCCACTCTGTCCGATGTTCTGTGGACACTTAATGTTTTTTTCTGATGCTTCTAGGTTCCACAGATGTCAGTAAAATTCTGCTCATAGTTTGTTCTTAAGTATCTTTGGTGGTATTCTGTCATATTCTCTCAGGGTAGTGTTGAAATCTCCAACTGTAATCTTTTTTTCAGTTCTGTTATTTGGTATAAATGCATTTGGGATTCCTTTGTCTTTTTTGTGGGTGACCTGCTTATCATTGTGTAAGGAATGCCCCTGTCTGTTGCTGTCGGCTTTTTCCCTGAAGTCTGTCTTAGTCTTTCTCTGACTTCTGTCTCTCACCACCCCCACTCCCTTTCCTTGGGACAGAGCCCAAGGCCTGTCTGTACACACTGAGGTGCACTCGGTCCCTTGGCATTCTTTTGATTAGTGTTTGTATATTTTTTCCATTCTTTGTTTTAAACTTACCTATATGATTATGTGAGATCTGAACGTCTAGTGGACTCACATGTGATTTTCCCTCTGATGATCTTTCAATTGGTGGCTTTAGACTGTTTCCACTACATATAATTATAGCTAGGTCAGGGCTTCAGTCTGCCCTTTAGTTCCTGCTTTCTGTTGTTTGTTTTCTTTTCTTCCTACCATTGTGGGTTTCTTGGACAATTTTTCTTTTAGAATGCAGTTTTGATTGGCCTGTAGTGTCTTGCGTGTGTCTCCTTATGCAGTCTTTTTGATGTGTGCTCTGGGTGTTACGTTATATGACATAACCTGCTTTATGGTGCTGAAAGTCCAGCCAGGACCTTGTGCATGCTGAACATCCATGCTTGCACCACAGCCCTACACCTTACCACATTCTGCTTAGGCCACCACTGGGGGCCCTTCCTCCCACTTCTAATACGACTGTCTGCAGTTTCAGAGCCTCTACAGACAGGGCTTTAAGTTTTGCCATGTAGACAGGGCTTTTTTTATTAAAAGGCAATTTTGGGCGGGTTGGGGGAACAGTCTGTTGTGGTTACCCATTTTCACCCTTTCTTTCCCTCTTACTGATGTACCAAGATTCCTCCTGTTACCGTTGCTCTTCTGTTTAGAAAACTTGATTTTGCTGTGCCTCTAAAGGTCAACTAAGCAACACATTCTATAACTTTGCTTTGTCTGGGATGCTGCCAGACTGCTGTCAAAATTCTGGGAATATGTTTGTGCCTGGAAGAAATAGTAGAATACAAATAGCCAAAGTGATCATTGTCTAGTTGATGTCAGGCAGCTACACATATAAGCCCAAACACTCGTTTCTTTTGGGAGGATTGCATAAGTGACTCCATTTTTGTTGTTAGTCTGTGGTTCACATATACAGTCCACATATACATAGCTGAGACTTGAGACTCTCTAGGGTACGCTGGGCAGCTAGCCTAACCTAACAGGTGAGTCCCAAGTCCCAGTGAAAAAAAGACTGTCTCAAAACAGAAACTATAAATACCCACAGGTGTATGTCTCCTGAGGAAAAACATCTGAGGTTGATCCCTATCCTCCACATGCGCGCAAGCAAGCATGCAAGCACACACACACACACACACACACACACACGCGCGCGCCAGATGAAAATATGCCAATAAGGCTGGAGATGTAGCTCAGTGGTCATGTTTGCCTAGCATGCAGCCCGGGGTTGATCTCCAGCACCAAATTAAACCAGGCATGGTGCTGTACATCTTTCATACCAGCACTCCGGAGCTGGAAGCAAGAGTATCAGAAGTTCAAGCTCATCTTGGCTACACATACTGAGTTCCATATGATATGGCCGATATTTTTTGTTTTGTTTTTGTATATAGTGTTCTATTCATAATTTCAATCCCACAAGTACAGCAATCTGCTAAGAGTATTCATCATCTTCAGGACCCATGAACTCATCTCTGTGAGTTCAAGGCCAGCCTAGTCTACAGAACAAGTTCCAGGACAACCTCCAAAGCAATACAGAGAAACCCTGTCTCGAAAAAACAAAACAAAACAAAACAAAAAAACCAAACGCATGAACTCCAAGTAAAATGACTAAGCAACTCCATATTCTACAGTAAGTTCCTAGAAGTGGGATCACTAACTTGATAGTCTGGTTTCATTTTC